ATTTTAAAAAGTTTAAATTATAGTTTATCTATTTTGTTGTTTATAATAGTACACAATATGGAAGATGCATTCGAAATTACCATTTTAGAAGGTTTAGATGACGATGACATTAAATATTTATTATTAAAAATTTCGAACTGATACGAATGTTGGCGAGCGCACCCGAAAACTATAAAGGCGCCACTATCTGCTGTCCGTAAACATCCACAATTAAGGACAGGCACAATGTTTATTAAAATCAGTTCTAGAATGTAAGTAATCTGCACATGCTCAGATGTCAAAATAAGCACTAATAGTGACTGACCTTAAGTGAACTCGCAATAATTCTCTATCAATTATTGTATTCTCGTTAAAATGTACGGTGCGTTCCTATAGTATATTGTGTCACAAGAGCAGAAAATGAGCTTTAGCAGCCCACGGCTATTAGCTGCATGAGCGAGCGAAGCGAAACGAGGGCAGCCGATAGCTAAGGTCTGCTAAAGCGTTTTCTGCGCAATTGTTTTTCGCCTACCAAAAAAAAAACAATGAATTGGAAAATATAACGAAAATCTTTAATTTTATAAATACAAGAAACTTAAGTAGTAAAATGTACGAATTTATTTATTGTAGTAATTAATTTAGAGAAACATTGTTGGCTTCCTCTTGCAAGTTTGGTGGAGTATTTGTCAATTCTTCGTCACTGTCTGAATGACTATTCATGTTCACTAATAGACTTACACTGACATTTAATCAAAATTTATGTGAAACGTCAAAGTACGCAAGTCACAGTCAAAGGTATCTAAATATCTAGTGAAAAACTAAAAAATCGGGCTGTTATGAGTTTAGCAGCCCATGGGACGATATACGTTACTTTCGGTCATATTTTTAGGGATAATATGATTCATTTTCACATATGGTAGGCAACACACCATACGTAAAACTTCATATTTTTGAAAACAATTTAAAACCATTTTCGTTTGCTTTACAATTTAAATGCGAAACGTCATGATATTACCTGTTTTTCTCTTTATTTTTGCTATTTGTAATATTGTAATGCATTATTTTTTAGGTGGCTTTTATAATAATTGGAATTTCGAAATCTAATTGCATAGAAAAATTATGTAAAATGAAAATTATCGATATGGAAAATAAACAAACAGCGATTAAAGTACCAGGGGCATATTTCATAAAACTTATTAGTCTAAAAATATTGGCTAAAGTTTATTATTATAAGTAAGAAATATTAGTTTCAGTTTCATAATATTTTTAGGTAATAAAATTAGTTATTAGTAAACTTACTCTTAATGTTAGTTTATTATATTTGTAAAATTTGAAGTATCTTTCATAGTTAAAGTAAACAAATAATTTTAAATAATAAATAACTACTAATATTATTACTTAATTTGCACTGATATTATATGTGACATATTTTATTTGAAAATTATGGATTCAGATTCAAGTGATAATGAAATTAGAATTGTAGTTAGACGACCGAGAATTTTCAGTGATAGAATTTCATATGTACATTTAGAAGAAACCTACGAATTCAATGAAAGATTTAGGTTACCTACTGGAAGTTTTAATATAATACTGCAACGGATAGAACATCTTTTATCTTCTGATACTCAAAGAAATCATGCGCTTACAGCCAAGCAGCAATTGATAAGTGCACTACATTGGCTTGGAAGTGGGAAGCAGTACCATGGTGTTGCAGATCTGCATGGTATTAGTAAAGCTACTATATGCAGAGTTGTTCACAGAGTTGTTACAGCAATTAATCAAATTTTAATAAACGAAACAGTTTGTTGGTCAAGAGATGTGGCTGAAGTAATTCATGGGTTTAGTAAAATGGCTGGAATGCCCCTTGTGTGTGCATCAGTGGACGGGACTTTATTTACATTGATGCTCTAAGTCAATATGAGCCTGGTTTTGTGGATCGTCATGGTAATCATTGATTAAACGTGATGCTTGTATGTGGTCCAACAATGAAGTTTTATTATGTAAATGCCAATTCGCCTGGTAGCGTAAGCGATGCACGAGTTTGGAGGCGAAGTACACTTAGCATCAGAATGGAAGATGGTTGCCGTATTTTTAGGTGATTCAATTTATCCTTTAAAGCCTTGGCATATACCACCTGTACTTCGTAATGCAGAAGATCCTGTACAACAAAGATTTTTAAGGGCACACAAAAGTACAAGGCGAGTTATTGAATGTGCCATTGGTATTTTGAAAGAAAAATTTCCATGCCTCAACCATTTAAGATTAAAACCTAGATTTGCCTGCGAGATAATACGGCGAGATAATACGAGCCCTAACAACTATATGTTCGGACGATGTAAGAAAATTTAAAAAATATATTGATATTTATTTTAAACAATTTTTTTGATTTTCCTGAGTGAAAAATCAAGTTACATACTCTTTACTGATCGTATGGAAATACTTTTTATTTTGTATAAACAACATAACAAAGTAACGAAATTTGATCAAATTTACCGACAAATAAATATTCGGACACACTTGAATTTTATAGCTTAAATCGACCTTTAATACAAGGTAACGTCACCTGTCACCTTTTGCGGTAATAACGGCTTGAATGCGTCGTGGCATGGAATCTACTAAAGTCTTACAATATTCGGGGGTGAAAGAGTTCCAAATTTGTGACATTTTTTCCTTTAATGCGGGAACGGTACGCTGAGGATCGTTACGCAAAGACTTCTTTATCTGATGCCATAAAGTTTCAATGGCATTCAAGTCGGGACTACTCGAAGGCCAGGGCCGGATTTACCATTACAGCGCCCCTAGGCCCGAATAAATTTGGCGCCCCCTCCCCCCCCCATCATACACTGATGATTTTATTGTCTGAAATAAAATTTATTCAAATGAATACTTATTAACAGCGAACTAATCATTTATTTAAAGATAATTCTTTGAATATTTTTAATATTAAATTTTAATAACCTTTTCCAATTTTGTTTTTGTGTTAGCACTACAAGTTTCGCCCCTTAGTGTTAACATAAAACAGAATTGGAAAAGGTAAATAATATTTAATATTACAAGTAAAATAAATCGAATTCAGGGCCAATCAAATGAAAATAATAATTCTTTGGGCCAAGTGAACAATCAGTTTTATGTAGAAATAAAAACTACAACTATATAATACATAAAATGTAAACAATACAGATATATAAAACCTTCTTGCTTTCTTTCGCGCAAATTTTTCTACCGTAGGAAGCAGTTAGTATCCCCTCGATAGCGAACAACAGGGCTAGTGATGTCAAACTGTCGTGGCTAGTTGTGAATCTCAGGTAGTTCTTCACACGACGAAGGGTGGAAAAGGATCTTTCTGCTGAACAGTTGGCTGGAGCACTAAGAACCATTCTTAACGCAATGGCAATGTTAGGGTAGACATCAACCATGTCAAAATTATACAAACTCTTGCTAATTTCAGTCATACTCGTTCTGGTATTTTCGTTTTCAGTTTTTCAACAAAAATGCTTCTACATGTAAACACTCGTCCACAACAACAGGCTCAAGATAGTTTTCTTGCACATTTGGTGATATCAGATGTCTCAAGACTTTTGATAGTTTCAAGAAAATCAAACCTATTGTGAAGATCAGAACATTTACACTCACGTGTCTTATTTTCAGAGTATAGGAAGTCCAATATGCAGTTAAAAGTATTAACACGGAAGTTTTCCGACCCTGTGAATTGATCATCACTGCTAGGACCACCATATTCACCAAACTTAGTAGGTACCTTTCTTTTGCGCCGATTATTAGCCATATATTCTTTCCTACACTTCTCATTCGCTGATCGTTCCAGGTCATCAAAGTTGTTCCTTACTTCTTGAAGAAAACCACACAAAGAGTCGCAATAGGCAACTATTTCCCCTAGCTCTGTGATTTCGTACTGCAGCTTTACATTTGCTTTATTAAACCTTTCCAGAATTGAGCCCCACAGTGCTGCCATAATGGTTGTCTCTAGGGAACTTAGCTTTTCATTTATAGTCCTGGATTCATTTCTTGTGGAGTGCCTCTCGTCACAGTCACTAGCAATTTCATCTAAACTTTTAAAAATTACCTCTTTGCTTTCATTAACAGCTCGGCAGGCGTCGTGACGAGTAGACCACCAAGTCTTTGAAAGGTTTTGCAATTTTAATGCTCAATTTCTTGTCAAAATAGTCCATCTATGTGGTGAAGCGCTAAAAAAGTTATACAGCTCCTGGAGTAATCCAAAAAAGGAAATGGCCTCCTTGCATGACTCAGCTGCACACGAGCCTACTAGGTTTAAGGAATGCGTAGAACAAGGTACATACTCCGCCAGAGGACTGAGCTGTTTGATACGAGCTTGAACTCCAGAGTAAATGCCTGACATATTCGAGGCGTTATCATATGATTGGCCTCTACAATTAGAAATGTCCAAATTACATTTTTCAAAAAGGCCCAATACTGTGTTTACTTTCTCTTCTGTTTTGTGATCAACATTTGGCACAAAAGAAATAAATATCTCTATCGGCATGTTCCCAATAGCAACATATCTAATTACGAAGGTAAGTTGGTCCACATGTGAAATGTCCGGCGTGGGGTCTAATATAATGCCAAAATACAATGCCAAAGTATTTTGCTTCTTGAACTTCTTTCAAAATTGTGTCCCTTACTTCTTCTGCCATAAGGGCGATAAGTTCTTTATAAGTAGTTTTCGAAATGTACGACGTACTACCCGAACCTTGGTCGCCGTATTGACGTAAATGTTTGGCCATAAAAGGGTCGAATTAGGCTAGAAATTTCAGAAGTTCAATGCAGTTTCTACAGTTAAGTTTATCTAACCCTTGCACAGTTAAATATTTAACAGTTGCCACCACTCTCTAAAGTACCTCCCTACAATAGTGGACTTCAAGTTCTATTTTTAGTTTTTCTAAACTGTTTCTATGGTTAAAACTGTTTTCATGGTCTTTTACACATTGATTAGCATTTTCCAGTCATTGAAACCGTTTGGAAATGCGCCCTTGTTATCCTACTCGTCAAATATCATACACGGAACGCAGAAAACGGAACCTTTTGATGGTGAATAAACCATCCACGTTTTGTTTTTTTTCTCCATTTTGAAGTTTTTTCGTAAACAAACACTTAGACAGGAAGCGAATTTTATCTGGATACGGTCTTTTGGATTCATTAAAATCGGAGTCACTATTTTGCTTTACACTACTTTGGGTACAAATATCTCTTAGTTCATCACTTACATCCCATAAACACGGATCGGAACTGAAAAAGTCTGCACTACCTCTACCACATTTTACATGAACTCCGTCTTCAGCATCAGCAGATTTATTTTGAAGTTTTGGTACAAGATCGGGTTCAAAAGCAACTTCTTCGGCGTTGAAACTGTTAGAAGCGTCATGGGAAACAGCCTGTACATTTTCACGGTAACCATCATTACTAACTTGACTTTGAACATTTCGTGAAAAAAAAAGTTGTTATTTTAGGAACTTTTTTATTTTTCTCATCTTTTTCTTCGCGCATTTTTCTAAACTCTGCACCACTAGGTTTTGATTTAAAGCTCATTATTAAACACTCATGATTACTTTAACAATAATAAATACTTATTTTCAACAACAAAGTAATGCCGTATGGACCACATTGTAAAAGTTGAATATTAAGATAACGCAAATCAGCATTAGAAAACACGCGAACAAAGCACATATTTAAAACAAAGCACTGGGGTGACTTGACAAGTGACAACGACCCACGACAGTGACAAGTGACTAACTAACTGTAAACTAAAAACATTTGATTTCGATTTTTTTTTATGACAGAGCGCCCCTTGGAGCCGTGCGCCCCTAGGCCCGGGCCTAGTGGGCCTAGTGGTAAATCCATGTCTGTCGAAGGTCACGATAAAACTTTTGTATTATGGTCACCAAACCACTTTTTCGTTGTTTTCGCCGTATGGCAGGGTGCACCGTCTTGTTGAAAGATAAAACTATCATTTCCAAAACATTAATATGTTGTTGGAATTAAGCTTCTTGATAAAATTTGTTGATACTTTTCTGCATTCACAGTACCATCAATGAACTCATATTTGCCATCCCCTTTACTACTCATACATCCCTATATCATAACCCCCTTGGGAAATTTTACAGTACGCTTTAAGCAGTCTTTATGAAAAGCTTCGGATTTTGTACGAACTACAGATTTTCGAAAATCCCCAACGCATACATCAAATTTCGATTCATCGCTGAAGATGACTTTACTCCACATTTCCGTTGTCCAGAATATTTTGGATTTTGCCCAATCCAAACGTTTTTTCATTTGAATAGCTGTCAGTAATGGCTTTTCCTTCGCCTATAAGGAATGTGTGCAACAGAACATTATTAATTTTTGTGTATTAAAACGAAAAATTACAAACTTACTTTATAAAAACTGTAACCAGACTTATGCAACCATTGTCTACAACATTCCCTAGAGACATTTAATTTTGCCTCATGATTCCATTGGGCTTGTATTTGTCGTAGAGTAGCACTTCTGTTGATTTTGCAAATCTTTACCAGAACACGGCGTTCTCTTTCTGTGATAGTACGCGGTCGGCCTGGACTTTTACCACGAACGCCAACACTAGCTGTCTCTCCATATTTTTTAATAATATCCCCGATCGTTGATTTTGCAATATTTAAATCATTCGAAATTTTTTGCGTTGATTTACCTCTGTGGTACTGAGAAATTATAATTTCAAGTAGTTTTTTGTTTGTCGCAAGTCCACGCGCCATTGTCTTAAAAATTTATATCAAAATTTGACGGATAAACCTTTAACTGATAGCTATTGACCAAAGCACACTAGATTTATCAGTAAATGCATGCATATTACTGATTTCAAAGCCAATAAAGATTAGCGTCCGAATATTTATTTGTCGGCAAATTTGTTCAAATTTTGTTATGTAGTTTATACAAAATAAATAGCTATTTGTATTACTAGGGAGGAAAGTGCCACTTTTCCTCCCGCAGGATAAAGTTTACTGCCCGACGCGAAGCGGAGGGCAGTAAACATTCAAGGGAGGAAAAGGCACTTTACTCCCAAGTAATACATATGATTTTTCCGCCTCCCTCAAATAACAAGTCATTTTTAAATAATTTTCTTCGGCGCATTGCTTGAAATGTAAATACTGTTTTTCGTATTTTTCTTTAGATTTTTGGGGTAATAGAGATTGTACTGTTGCATTAACCTGTTCCAAAATATCCGATGGTGTATTAATTATATCTTCAAATTCGCTTAAATCACTCATTTTTTAAATATTATTTTATATTTTGTAGATATATTATAGCGTAACACACTTTGAAACTGATCTGTCAATCGACCATAGCATGCTATAATATTTCTGTACTAAATTCGAAAATCGGATGAATCTATGAATTGAAGTCAAATTATTAATGTAAAAATCATTAAATTAAAATAACAATTTACTGGTTTTTACTATTTTGCAAAATACAGGGTGTTCTATAAATAAACGGTAAAATTTATACTTATATAATAGAATATAGTTTAGGTCGTCAATGCCGTATAAGCTATTTCATTTATGACATACCATGACGTCACTTTTACTTTTCCTCCCTAGGGAGGAAAAGTACGACTTTGCTCCCTGCAATGAGGCCAGAAAATGTATACTTTGGATAGAGGTAGGCGGAAAAAAGTATTTTCTTACGATCAGATTTTGTGTTAAGTAAAGAGTATGTGACTTGATTTTTCACTCAGGAAAAACGAAAAAAAAATGTTTAAAATAAACATAAGTATATTTTTTTAATTTTCTTACGTCGTCCGAACATATAGTTGTTAGGGCTCGTAGAATGTTGCGTTGTTATCTGCAATTTAACAAAAGTAGATATTGAGAGGTATAATAATAGAGAAGAAAATGATGTTAACATTGATATGGTAGACGACGGCGAACAATTAGCTAGAGAAGCAGGTGGCAAGGAAACATTACTTTACTTTTATAATCACTTTCGGAATGTCTGAAATAATATCTATAAATGTAAAGAAAAACATTTTACTTTTCAGAATAGGAAAATTTTTTTGTATATATTTTTTGTTCTGCAAAATAATAAATTGGTAGGCATTTGAAAAGTAGCTACTTATTAAATTTTCATCCGTTATAGTAATTAAATAAATAAAAGTGTAACACACATTTTATTATAATGCTTTTAAAATAACATTATTTTTCTTTAACATAAATAAACTGCCCTTCGTCACAATCATTGTACAAGTGACCTTAATAAATGGATAGATAATTACATTGAGAAAAAAATATTTATAGTAAGTAAAAAAATTTAACCATTTAATAATTCTATTAATTGTTTAGTCTGATTTCTTCCTAGCTAAAATTATATATTTTTTAAATACATCTTTTATCATATTGATAGAATTTATTTTGTGTAAATAATCTTTCTAAATTTTAGGTAAGCCATTGTAAATTTTTCGCGATAGATAAGTATAACAACATAAACTAATATTTTTTTGTAATAACTCAATTCTTACATTATCATTTTTTTTATCTTGTTGTATATGAATGACTAACTTCTTCTAAGAGGTTTTTATTATTATAAGTGTACATAATAATTTGATGCATAAACAACTGTCTCAGGTCCAGTATACCAGATTCGAAAAATAACATATTGGATGGGTAAGTGGGTATTTTATTAAACATTATTTTTAGAATGCGTTTTTGAATTATGTCAAGTTGTTTTAGGTAGCAAAATGCAGTACCGCCTCAACTCAGCATAGCATAATAAGTCTTGATTCAACTAAAGAATAGTACAGTATTTTTAAGTGTTTTTGGTCTAAACATTTTTTTAAATATTTAAAACGGTATAAAAGTAGTTTAGTTATATTTTCAATATGTATATCCCACCTTAAGTGTGGGTCCATAGTAACTCCTAAATATTTATAACTGCTATTAGATTTTAATGATTTTTTTTCTGTATTATTTTGAATAGTTAAAGACTGATACGTAAGGAGACATCTAGAATTATTTGAAAAGGGCATAATTTACAGTTAGTAATTTGTGTTTAAATTAATTAAAAACTTTAGATAAACCTCTTTCTGCTTTGATTTTTAGACGGTCCCAATCACTGTTGGTATATAAAACGGCGGTGTCGTCTGCAAAACTAAATAATGGCCCACTAGAAGCTGATGTAAGAATATTATGAATATACAATGTAAACAAAATAGGTCCCAAAACAGTTTGCAAGTTTTTCTTATAATTAGGTAGATGCTTTTTTTGCTTATTTTCTGGATCTAATTTAAAGATATGATCTAATCTATTTTCTCATTGACTGAATTTATAATACCTGCAGTAATCCATTGCTTGCGTTTAATGTTATATTTTTTAATTTTTTTGATAAAAGTATTTTTGTTACTAATTCCTTCAATAATGAAATACACTCACGTACCAAAGTATCAACATCTGTTATGAAAATTAGTCCAATCATAAGGATTCAAATCATTTCTCAAGTTTTCATAATTTGTATAACATACATTTTTATTAGAATTATCTGGAATTTTTAAAATTTGAATAGATAAACTAGTATTGTAGCCCTATGATCAGTGATGTTGTTTTCAAATACCATTGAAATACATTCAAATTCGAAATATTATTTTTCATGAAAATATAATCAAGACAGTTACCTGAACTATTAGACATTAGTCTCGTATTTTTGTTATTCATTGAAATAATATTATATTCACTTAATAAATTCAAGTAATTATTTACAGTATCATTTTTCAAGTGAATTTTTATGTTTATATCACCTACCAAAAGAAGAGAAAAGACCTGTAACTGTTTGGTTTGTTCTAGATAATGCCCGAGTTCATCTATAAAAATGTCTTCACTAGCTAATGGAGACCTATATAAACTAGTTATAATTATATTTTTATGTTTTCTAATACATATATTTATTTCCATAGCTTTACAATAACCAATAAAGATATTTGTTTAGGTATAATCAAATGTTTTTTTTAATAAACCACTACCCCATCATTTTTGTTAAATGCCCCATCATTATATACCATCTCATAACCTGGTAATTGGAACAAAGTAGTATCGAAAATTTTAAATGATTCTGTAAGAATTATACAGAATTATACTCACAATTTATTTGACTAAGTAATATTTTTAATTCATCTATATTTTTTTTCAAGCTGTTTATGTTTTGATAATATAATTTAAAATATACCCCATCCTATCTGTCATCCCAACATGTATTATGATTACTTACGTTTAAAATTTCCAAAGTATTAACTGGCCTGTAATTTATATCACGAATATAGTTATATGTATCCATTTCAAAGGAAAGATTAAAATTTAATAAAAAAAATAAAATATGATTAAAAGAAAATTTTAAAATATCCTCAAAATTCACCAAATAATATAAGAATAAATTTAAAAAAGAAAAAAA